GCACATCGCTATGTATTGCAAACTCTAGGTGAGGAGGAAGCATGCTTGGTCACTTTGGTGCTCATGAAATAAATGAAGTAGTGTGAGAAACCTTTTAACATTCCCTATTTATAATTTAAATTACCTTGATTTTTAGATTGCTACTTAGGTAATAGGTTACACTCTAATTTTGTTAAATTTTAAATCATAAATTCGAATTGATTTAACAAAACTAGGGTCCGATAATCATGTTCAATTCTAATTTAGTCGACCGAAAGTATAATGTTTTTAGTCTTTATATATGATATTTTTTAAATTTAATTAAAAAAATTAATTGTGTCAAATAAGACAAAAAATTAAAAATAAAACCATTTTGTATCATCTAAAAAAATGAAATCACTTGGAAAAAATATGATACATTTTGCGATACGTTTTAGTTAACTTTGTTCGAATTGCTGTTAAATCCTACTCGGTCTTTATTGTATTGTAAGTATTTTTATTTATTATATAATACTTTTTATTTTATCCACCCCATATAAAATTCCCGGTTCCTCCACTGTGAATATGACATGCTTAGCAGAGGGCAATATTGTGTTTAACGTGAGATCTCGTGTTAGTGAATCGTGGTGTGGTGGCAATGGCGTTCTCTTGACTTTTTCTGGTGTTTTCTTTCTTTGTTGACATTTTGTTTGTGGTGTTTGCACTTTGTAGGGTGTAACACCCCGTCTGCAGCCGGTGAATTAACTTCCATATGGTACACTAGCGCTCTTCAAATTATGAATTAAGCGGAAGACTTAACATGCGTATTTACTTAAGTTATGGCAGAAATACGAATAAACTTTTTCTTTTATCTGATTTACATTACATTAACAATTTAACACATAACCTATTATTTCCCGCATTGCCACGAACAAAACTTAATTCCAAATGTTATAATCTGCACAGTCTCATACTTGTACAAATTTCTTGAACGGTCTACCTATGACAATTCTATTTATATCTGTACTAGACAGATATATTCCATTCAAATATGATCATAGAGACCATTCTGAACAGAAAACCTATGGACAGCATAACGGTTGTAATTCAGATAAATCCAAATTCTTGTAATACAGAAAATCTACACAAAACATAAATAAACATTATCACACTTAGAATTCATCCATGAATTCACACAAAATCTGACTCAGTGTCAGTATTGAACACAATTAAACCTGCGAATCTTAAATTGCAACAGATACAAAACATACTGAAATACCTCGTACTGAACTATGGATTTAAGCCAATTCCCAAATACATACAGAAATTCATAACTTCATTACAGATAATTAAAAAAAAAAGGCTAGACCTGCCTCTCAAAAGATAACAGCTGACAACAAGCATGGATACTACACATGCCTCAAAAAGTATATACATATACACACAGATCAAAATACAAAATCCAGCTCCAACATTAGTCACTCTGCACAGGCCTCTTGCCCTGAGATGACTGATCAACATCTGTTGGAATACCTGAAATATATCCTCACAACACGGGGTGAGAAATAAATCTCATAAACTCAGGGTTTATGGAGAAGTCTCCACCAATGAGTTCATTTTCCTGCATGAAAGGTCATATACATAGTATAACATAGATCATATAATCACAGAATAGTATCAGACTACTCGTCTGCACAAATAACTCCCGGAATTAAATCTCAACAGCAACCAGAGCCAACCAGTCCAGGTGCACTAATGGTCTATCTGAAAATGTTCATTGTACAAGAACCCATATACCACAAATCATATCACATCAAATCATGTTATAATCTATATGAATACAGCTATACTATATATCTGACTACCACAAAACACAAACATACAGATATACCTCCAAGATAATAAAATCCCGGTAGAACAAACAAAGAGGAAGAATCCTCCTAAACTAAAAGCTTACCTCTAGTAGCTCCTAGCAAGCTTACTTGGACAACAAGTAATCAAGTCAAATTCAAGTATCTCCCGATTCACACCTGTACCCAGATATATATCAGATTTGACATACACACAACAACTTGTAACACAAGATTCATATCTTGTCCAATCCACATTACACTCTTACACTTAATTTTAGGTTAAACCTACATTCTCACATTAACAATTAGAGACTTAATCATTCAAACTTACTTACACACTCTTTATTTAAGTTTCTATAGTTTAGTTATCAATTAACTTCAATTCCAACCAAATTAAACAAACATGGTCAAATCTCACACAACACATCCACACACATTTTCATGCTTCTCATTCATCATTCTTTACACCACTTTAACATTCATTCATGCATCAAAACATATACTTGAACTTAAGCTTTCAAATCATTAATTTATGTCCTTTAAGTGTCAAATTACTTTCACAAGTTCAAAAACTTAAACCAACCATCCACTTACACTTTATTATCCATCAAGTACATATAACATCATTCAAAATAAATTATACAACATGGATACGCAATTAACTTGAAATGGTTGAATCACATATAATAGATTTTCACGACTTTTATGCATTCAAACTTTAATCCAATGACACCAATCAATTAAATACACATTGAATTCATGTATAAACATTCAATTAATCATGTGTGAATTCATTTTGACTTGGCTACCACAGTTTTCCTTTTACTTTTTCAAGAGATCAAATTTTCTCCAAGGAGAACACAATACCCCGAAGTGGAGCGTTTATCTGAAGGAGAACTTGCCCAATCAGCATCTGAATAGCTACACACATCCGTATTTCCTTTATTTGTGTATAACAAACCCATTCCTGGTGCTCTTTTGATGTATCGAAGAATCCTGACAACTGCATCCTAATGAGAGTCACAAGAAGAGTCAAGGAACTAACTTGCCACACTAATTGCATAAGAAATGTTCGGCCTTGTTACGGTAAGATAGTTTAATTTTCCAACTAATTTGCGATAACAACTGGGATCTGCCAATGGCTCCTCATGTCCTGGTAACAGTTTGACATTAGGATCCATAGGTATATCAATGGGCTTACATCCTGAAATACTAGTCTTCTCTAGGATATCTGTGGCATACTTTCTTTGACAAATGGAAATACCCTACTTGGATTGTGCCACTTCGATCCCTAAGAAATAATGAAGTCTGCCAAGATCTTTGGTCTGAAATTGATTAAATAAGTATTTCTTGAACTTATAAATTCCAGCTTGATCATTGCTAATAATAATGATGTCATCAACATAGACCAGGAGGTAGATGCACTTACTAGACAAGCTATATCGATAGAAAATAGAATGATCGACATCACTTCGGGCTAAACTGAAGGCTTGAACAACAGAAATGAAGTGACTGGACCAGGCTCGAGGAGACTGCTTTAGGCCATGTAAAGATTTATGAAGCTTACATACTATTCCAGAACACCCCCTTGAGAAACAAAACCTGTTAATTGCTCCATGTATACTTCTTCCTGCAAATCACTATGTAAGAAGGCATTTTTTTATATCAAGTTGAAGAATAAGCTAGTGATTAATGGACGCAAGTGCAAGAAACAAATGAATATAAGCCATCTTGGCAACGAGAGAAAAAGTCTCTCCATAGTCAAGGCCAAAAATCTGAGTGTATCCCTTGACCACTAGGCGGGCTTTGAGGCGGTCAACAGTGCCATCAGAACCAACTTTGACTATGAATACCCATCTACAACTGACAACAGATTTTCCGGGAAGAGTGCGAACAAGATCTCATGCGCCATTGGATTAAAGTGCTGTCATTTCATCAATCACCACTTGGCGCCAACCTACATGAGATAGTGCTTCACTTGTGGTCTTAAGAATAGAAAAAAAAGAAAGACTAGAAACAAAGGAAAAATATTGTGAAGAAATTTGGTCATAACTCAAGCAAATATAAAGGGGATGAAGGTTGCGAGTGGATCAAATATCTTTGCGATGGCAAATTGGAGTAATCTCTTATGGAGGCTCCGGATGGGAAGAGACAATTATTGAATACGGTGAGTCAATCGGAGTAGGCTGACACCTGCAACTGGTAAAGACAAATCAACAAAGGAAATTGGAATAATATGATCAATTTGTGACATAGAAGTTTAGGAACTAGAGAATGGTTGTTGATCCATGAAGGTGACATCAGCAGACACAATGTATCGCTTGAGGTTTGGAGACTAACAACGATACCCCTTTTGAAAGCGAGTATAACCAAAGAATATACACTTGAAGGCCTTGGGTGTTAATTTATCTTTTTCTGGAGGGAGATCATGAATTAAGAAGGTACACCCAAATACATACGGAGGCAGTAGATAGGAAGGCGCTCCTGGAAATAAGACATTGTGTGGGACTTCATTTTTAAGCACGGAAGAGGGCATCGCTTGATAAGAAAATAAGAAGTGATAATAGCATCTACCCAAAAACGGAGTGGAATATTCATATGAATTAGAAGGATACGTGTAGTTTCAACCAAGTGTCTATTTTTACGTTCGGCCACTCTATTTTGTTGTGGAGTGTGAGGACAGGTGATTTGGTGTAACACCCCATGTTGCTCCAAGAAAGCAGAAATTCATGAGACATACTCTTTCTCATTATAACTGCATAAGACTCGAGTTGAAGCACCAAATTGAGTATTAATCTCAGCACAAAAATTTTGATAGATAGAAAATAATTTAGAACGGATTTTCATTAAATAAACCCAAGTACAATGAGAAAAATCATCAATAAAAATTACAAAATACTGAAAATCCAAAATGGACATAGCTCGACTCGGACCTCAAATATCAGAATGAACAATAGAAAAGGGAGTATCAGCTCTTTTATTGACTCAATTAGCAAAGGAAGAACAAGTGTGCTTTCCTTGCTAACAAGACTGGTAATTTAAAGACTGGTAACCGAATAAAAAAGTAACCATATGATGAAGCTTGGAGAGCCTTGGATGACCCAGACGACTGTGGATTAGTTGAGGAGAATCTATGAGAGAGCATGCCACTCGAGAATGAGGTGAGGTTAGATAGTAGAGACCTCGTGACTAACAACCCACTCCAATCGTCTTCCCCATACCTGGATCCTGCATAAAGACAGATTGGTCAAAAAAGGTAACAGTGCATGAAAGAGAATGAATTAACTGGCTAACAGAGATTAAATTGAAAGGAATGCTAGGTATATAATAAATAGAGGTCAAGGTCAAATAAGGAGTTAGATTGGCTTATCCAATGACAGGCGTGGTAATGAGCTTATTTTTCAAAGATTCAAAAGCTTTCACACAGTCAGAGTTAAACTCAAATTTTATATCTTTTTCTAATAAGTGGCATAAAGGTCTAGCTATTTTGGAAAAGTCTTTAACAAACCTTCTGTAAAAGCCTGCATGCCCTAAAAAAGATCTCAAGGTTTTTATACTTACTGGTGGTGGCATTTTTGCTATAGCTTCTACTTTGGCTTGATCCACTTCCAGTCCTTCTCTAGAAATTTTGTGTCCCAGGACTATTCTTTCTTTCACCATGAAGTGGTATTTTTCCCAATTAAGCACTAGATTAGAGGACAGACACCTTTGAAGGACTTCTTCTAAATTGTTCAAGCAATGATCATATGACGTCCCCAGTACTGAAACATCATCCATAAAGACTTCTACTCCTTCACCTATTAGATCGGAAAAGATTGACAACATACACCTCTGGAACGTTGCTGGTGCATTACATAACCCGAAGGGCATCATTCTGAAAGCGAACGTTCCATATGGGCAGGTGAAGGTGGTTTTATGTTGATCTTCTGGTGCCAAAGCAATTTGATTATACCCTGAATATCCATCAAGGAAGCAGAAGTATTCTTTTCCTGCTAGGTGGTCCAGCATCTGATCTGTAAAAGGGAGTGGGAAATGGTCCTTCCTGGTGGCATTATTGAGCTTCCTGTAATCTTGGCAGATTCTCCATCCTGTAACCTTTCTCACAGGTATCAGCTCATTCTTTTCATTCTTTTCCACTGTGATGCCTCCCTTTTTGGGGATGCATTGGATAGGACTTACCCAACTGCTGTCAGATATTGGGTATATGATCCCTGCATCCAGCCATTTGATGACTTCCTTTCTCACCACTTCTTTCATTATAGGGTTCAATCTTCTTTGATGTTCCACTGAAAAACTGTTAGGACCAGTCAATAATATTTTATGCATACAAAATGAGGGACTGATACCTTTGAGATCAGCTATGGTCCAACCGATGGCTCCTTGGTATTTTTTTAGCTTGTCAAGCAACAGTCCTTCTTGTTCCTTGGTAAGAAATGAAGAAATGATCACAGGAAGGGTTTTGTTGTTCCCCAGATATGCATACTTCAAATGTTGGGGAAGGGGTTTTAGTTCTAACTCAGGAGGTTTTTCTGAAGAAGGTCTTTTGAGCTGCTTCTCCTTTTTAGTTCTTATCAAAGGTTCAGGCCTTCTTTCTTGCAGATAGCAAATCTGCTCTTCTTGTTGTGGGTCTTCTTCTTCTTCCTCGTATTCTTCTTCCTCTGTTTTTCTGCTATGTTGATTGTTTAACAAAGTGAGAGCATAACATTCTTCCAAGTCTTCTCCTTCATCCTGGAACTTTATTGCTTTGACAATATTGAACTTGATCTCATCGTCATGAACTCTCATGGTTAGTTCCCCCTTTTGTACATTGATAACTGCTCCTCCAATTTCTAGGAACGGTCTACCCAGAATGATGGCAACATCATCATCAGCTTCATAATCCAGAATGATGAAGTCAGTAGGTAAGATAAATTTATCTACTTTGACTAGCAGATCTTCAATCTTCCCTTCTGGCTTGACGATGGATCTGTCTGCCATTTGCAAGGTCACCGTGGTGGGTTTAGTTGGTCCAATGGATAATTGTTTGAAGACAGATAGGGGCATGAGATTGATGCTGGCCCCTAAATCACACAAGGTTTTCCCTTAGTACGTGTTTCCTATAATGCAAGGAATGGTGAAGCTTCCTGGGTCTTGAAGCTTAGGTGGGAGTTTGCCTAAGTATTGACAACTTTCTTGTGTCATTTTCACAGTCTCATATTCCGTTATTCCTCTTTTTTTTGAGAGGACATCTTTCATGAATTTTACGTACCTGGGCATCTGTTCTAGTGCGTCCACCAGAGAAATATTGATGTGAAGTTGTTTTAAAATGTCCAGGAACTTTCCAAAGTGCTTATCCTCCTGTTGTTTTTTTGTTCTTTGAGGGAAAAAATTTTTTGTTGATATTTGCCTGCTTTGAGTTGGACTGATTGGTTGGCTGTTGGCTTCCTTTTCAGGTTCTGGGTTCTGTTCGTCTGTAACTGGTAATTGTTGATGTGCTTTTGGGGCTGCTTCAGGTGTTTTAGTTTGTTCTTTTTCCTTTGGTCGAACTGTGGGTTGTGCTGTGGCTTTCCCACTTCTTAAGGTGACAGCTTTGATTTGCTCTGAAGGGGAGATAGGTGTTACTTTTGGCGAGGTTGTTGAAGGAACGTCAATATTCCTTGCTAATGATCCTTGTGTTCTGGTTTGAAGGTTGGCAGCAATCTGCCCTAGATGGGACTCAATGTTCCTGACCACTGCATCATTCCTGGTGACATATTCCTTGACATAATTTTCCAGGGTGTTGATGCGATGGTCATCTCTGTGGAACGGAACGTAGTTGTTTCTTCTTTGTTCAGACGTTCCACTGCTGCTACCTTGCTGATACTGCTGCTGATTGTTGTTGAATAATCTCTGGTTAATGGGTGGCCTCCATTGGGTGTTGTGGTTCTGATCCTTAATGATAGTTCCTCCAGGGCTTGAATGTGTATTTCGTCCTGCTTGTTGATTGTCTCTGGTGAAGTTCCTATTGCCAAAATTTTCTGCATAACACACTAATGCAGTGGATGGGCAGTCTGTTGAGTCATGAAGGTCACCACAGGCTGAGCATGGTTCTGTTTCAGTTGCTGTGAGTTGTAAAACCTCCATCCTTGGTGCTTCTTAGTCGGCTTTTAGGTTCTTCACTTCATTCATGAGTGATGCCAGCTGGGCTTCCATGGCAGTTTGTTTATCTAGTTCTAGCATGTCTGGCTTCCTCACTGGGCTCACTCTGTCTATTGGCCATTGGAGACATCTTTCAGTAGTCCCTTCTATGATTTCATATCTTGATTCAAGTGTTCCTGTAAAAAAATATCCTCCTGCAACAAAATCTAAGTGAGACTGAGAAGTATGATCAAGTCCTTTATAGAAAGATTGTAACACTTCCCAACTCTCTACCCCATGGTTTGGACATTTTCTTATGATGTCCTTGTATCTCTCCCATGCTTCATAGAGATTTTCTCCATAAATCATTCTGAAGTTAGAGATTTCTGCTCTAACATCTGCTTGTCGAGACATTGGGAGAAACCTCTCTATGAACTTGTTAGAGAGTTCTTCCCATGTGTGGATTGATCCAGGGGTGAGAGTTTTCATCCATGTTTTAGCTTTTAAGCCTAAGGAGTGAGGGAACAACCTCATTCTCATGCTCTCTTATGTTACACCCTCAGCTTTAAAATTGTAACAGATATCTTGGAATGTGGTGAGGTGTGTGTAAGGATCTTCTGCAGGGAGTCCATTGAAGACCCCTGCTTCTCTAATCATGTGAAACATGATAGGTTTTAGTTCAAAATTGGGTGCTACAGGAGGGAGATTACTCCCCTGTCTGGTCTGTTCCTGAAAGGAGCAGCCAAAATTCTGAAGTTCTGTTCAGGGGGAACCTCTTCATTGTTATTATTGTGATCAACCATGTTTTCAGGAAATCTTTCTCTGAGGTTCCTTCTTCTCCTATGGAGTGTACGTTCTGGTTCAGGATCAAAGAGAAACTCAGGTATTTCAATGGAGTGGTTAGAGTCTGTTTCAAACTCTTCACTCATAAACCAATAACACAGGGTATATAGATATGCACAACAGATTCAGTGATAAAGAGAAAAAAATAAAAAAGTAAAGTCAGATATACAGTATATGTGTTAGAAAACAATGATAAGAACAACAGTTAGTGTTTCTGTCCCCGGCAACGGCGCCAAAAACTTGTTGGGTGGTTTGCTGATGGTGGAAAATATAAGTTCTGATAGGGGACGTTCCTCTGTTCTTGCAGAACACAGATTCGTCCCTTAGTTCCAACCCAAGTGCGCAAGTGCACGCATCAAGTAATAAAGGGAGGTATTAATGCCCAAATTATCGTTCCCACGAGGATAGAGTACTAATTATTGTTTTATCACTGTTTATAAAGAGTGAAAATAAGAAGAAAAGTTAGTAAATGAACTGTCTGGTCAAACGTTCTCTACTGTCTTGACAACGTTCCTCAGGAACAGTAGGTTCAACCTGATGGCAAACAGTTGCTCGCTGCGTTATGTATGTGATCCTTCCTGTTTAGAAGAAGGTGAGATAACAATCATTGGAGTTTTTATAAGTACTAAAATAAAATAAAACTACCAAAACAGAAATAACTATAATCAAGAGACAACAAGGTGGTGGTTAAAACAGTTTAACAGAAGGAAAAGATTCACTGCTTCACTCTTAAAGGGGTTGTTTTCTCTGCTCAAAACTGAGCACCTTTTGGCTTTGTCCCAGTTTCTTTGCCTGCCAACTCTGATTCCTCAGCTCATGGTCTAGATGGCTCACAAGTTTCCATATTCCTACGGCTCCCTTGACTCCAACAGGTGCTTAGTTCAGAACCTTAAAATGGACGAGTTGACCCCTTATTCCTAAGGTGACCAGTAGCGTTTTTGCCATGACATCTACCTTCCTCCAATGGCTAAGCTGTCTGAAATCCCTTCCTTATTGAAGTTCTTTCTCAGTATGTACCCAATTTCCATTGGCGCACAATGAATATAGCTTACTTAGCCAAAGAAATACAAAAAACTTCGGTCAAGAGCAGAGAAAACAGCCCCTTTAAGAGTGAAGCAGTGAATCCGTTCCTTCTGTTAAACTGTTTTAACCACCACCCTGTTGTCTCTTGATTATAGTTATTTCTGTTTTGGTAGTTTTATTTTATTTTAGTACTTATAAAAACTCCAATGATTGTTATCTCACCTTCTTCTAAACAGGAAGGATCACATACATAACGCAGCGAGCAACTATTTGCCATCAGGTTGAACCTACTGTTCCTGAGGAACGTTGTCAAGACAGTAGGGAACGTTTGACCAGACAGTTCATTTACTAACTTTTCTTCTCATTTTCACTCTTTATAAACAGTGATAAAACAATAATTAGCACTCTATCCTCGTGGGAACGATAATTTGGGCATTAATACTCCCTTTATTACTTGATGCGTGCACTTGCGCACTTGGGTTGGAACTAAGGGACGAATCTGTGTTCTGCAAGAACAGAGGAACGTCCCCTATCAGAACTTATATTTTCCACCATCAGCAAACCACCCAACAACTGTCATAAGCAATGGCTAATTGCATCGCTTGATGAAGCGAAGATGGCCAACGAAGTTGTACTGCTCCTTTAATGTCCGGTTGTAATCCAGCCACAAAGAATGTCATTAAGAGATCATCACTTACATTGGAAACTTGATTCACCAATCTTTGAAACTCCGCCATGTAATCCACTAAAGATCCTTTCTGCAACAGCTTAGCTAATACTCAACGAACATCTTTGTAATTGGATGGTCTAAAGCGCTCACGAACTGCACGAACAAATTCTTCCCAAGATTGAACAGTTCCACCATTAAAGATCCATTGTAACCAATCTACTGCCACACCTTCCATTCTCAAACCCGCGAGTTCCACTCTCATCTGTGCTGGAACCTGCTGAATTTTGAAAAATAATTCAGCCTTGAAGATCCAAGAATTAGGTTCCTTACCATCAAATTTGGGTATCTCAGGTTTCACAAACTTCAAGACATGCCTGGGGACATCGGCATTCCAAGAAGCATTCTGAAGAACACAATGTTGTGGAGGTGGATCATGTGCGGAAGTACTCTCAGAAGACGATCTCGCAATATGAGGTAGAATTTCCCTAAAATTTCTCTGCAATTCTTGAAACCTAGCCTCCATGGAAATCAAAAGTTGCTCAATTCGTTGATTATTTTGATTGTTCTGCTCACGATATTGCAGAAATTCATCAGCCAGCTCCTGCATCTTCATCTTTCCTTGCATGCAAAAATGGTGGTCGTTGAATCCACAGCAATGAAGGCACCAATGATACAGAGTAATTCTCTGTAACAGAAGGAAGAACCAATATCTAAAAGAAGGACAAGCGTATTCTATATTTCTCAATCAATGACATCTGTTACAACATGCATTACTTATATGTTTCAACTAACTACTGCCACATGAGCTTAACTAACCACGTGGGAAGGCCAACTAATTTGGTCACTCGGTTGTATACAACTCCTATATTAGTATTCTACTACTAATGAATGTAGTCTATTGCCCAAGATGGACAACCTTTAATCCTCGCCTTTCTTTCTTGTACATCAGCTACTTTTGTGTCTCTATCACTTTCTCCTTCTGGGATTTTCTTTTCTTTTTTCCTCAAGTTTTATTTTTTTAGGGATTCAATGACAGAAATTGAAAAAAATGATTCTTTTTTTAATTCTAGGAGATAGTAAGTCTTAAAGGCTAAAGCTTTTCACGTGAAGTATGCGTTGTGTTGAAATAATAGACTAAGTAAAATAAAATATATTTCTTTAAATTTTTATTTCACAATTCATGAAAGCAAATATTATTGAACTAAAATATTAATAGATTAAATCACTATTTCAAAACTTTACATTGTATTTTTTTATTGTACAAATATATTTTGTATTTAGAAAAAACTTATAGATAACCTTCAAAAAAATATATCTTAATCTTATTATAATTGAAAAAAATTAT